CCTAACAAATGCGGAAAGTGATACTTTACCGCACGCAACGGCAGCCGATAAGGGCGGTAAAGGCACTTTCCGCATGTGTTAGGTACAAAATTTTACCTATGAGCATCTACAACTCCAAAAAAAAGGCATTGATCAAATTAATTAATGGTTCAGATTAATTAATTAAATTAGATAAAATTTAGAAATGATCAAAAATCCATTTTCTGAAAAAAAGAGGATTTTTGATTATAAATATCAAATTCTACTTTACCGCACACTATGTGGTAAAGTGCACTTTACCGCATACTTTGTGTTCTACTTTACCGCATACTATGCTGTAAAGTTGACTTTACCGCACACTATGCGTTAAAATGCACTTTACCGCATAGTGTGCGGTAAAGTGATACTTTCCATTTGCAAATACGTGCGGTAAAGTGCACTTTACCGCACGCTCGTAGGTGAAGTAACTTTACGGCATAGTGTGCGGTAGAGTGCTACTTTCCATTTCCAAATAAGTGCGGTTAAGTGCACTTTACCGCACGCTTGTAGGTAATAGCTATTTATCTAACAAGTGCGGAAAAATATTTTCCGCAAGTGTTAGGTACAATATTTTTCCTACAGGCGAAAAATTGTAAAATTTTTCTTTTCTTTTTTTTTGACATATCAGTGCGGTAAAATTTTTTCCGCACTGACAGCCGTGCGGAAATTTTTTTTCCGCACTGACATGTCAAAAAAAAAGTTTTACCGCACCGTGCGGGAAAACTCATTTTCCGCACGCATATCAGTGCGGAAAATCGATTTTTCCGCACGGCTGTAGGAAAAGTTACTTTTCAGCACTGAGTAGGCTCCCTACGACACGCAAATGAGTGCGGTGAAGTGCACTCTACCGCACGGCATGCGATAATATTATTACCGCACGCTCTATCCACATAGGTACGTAATACCTTCAATCGCCTACCAAAGATATATTACCTATACCTATCACCTAAATTCTACTTGTTCACTGTCAAAAGTGAAAGGCTCATTTTTTTCATCATTCTTTAAGCTTCTTTTAGATATTTTGTTCCCGCATGATTGTAGATAAAATACTGTATAATAGGTATGGTAATTAGGCTATTACCGCCCTTAGAGATTGCAAATTTCTCTCGCGTGCGGTAATTACCTGGTTACCACACCTATTAATTATATTAAATAATGTACTTAATATTACCATTTCACCTAGATTTTTTTTATAGGAAGTCGTCAATTTTTACGTTCAGTAGATAAACGTAATCTTTTCCTATCAAAAATTTCTGAAGTTGTACCAAAGGTTTTACCCAGTTTATTTTCAAAACACAAAAGGCAATGCAAAAACTCTTCGACGGCACGGAATGGTCAAAACAATTATTGAGATAAGAATAAATATTATTTTATTCCCGGGATGTTGTCGAAGCGCCGGCCGGGGGTTGGCGGGGCAGTTCTCAGTGTTGCCATGCCATAGAATATAGTTGCGATTGCAGGAATTGATCCGAAATAATACATTTTCTGTTTTTTTATGTTTAACAAGAATGTACGTGTTTAACAAAAAAATTATATTGGTAAAAAATGTTAGTATTTTAACATAGAAATGTGAGAAGTATTTTATATTCCAATCTTTTTTTTTTGGGAGGCGAGATAATTTTCAGAATTACTTTTTTCTATAAAAAATTACTTTTCATTCTTCTGTGATTCATCATCTATCATCCCACCAAATTTCATTGATTTTGATCCAATACTTTGGACGTAAATCAAAAAATAGTTTAACCCGTCGCACAGAGGTACCCAGGCCTCTTAAGTTTTGCAGTACTTTTTACTAACCCTGTTTAAAAGGCCGCTCTTGCTTTGTAAGTTTAAGTTTCAGTTCGACTGTGATACGATTTAAATAGTGATTATTTTTGTAAAGAGTTTAATTGTTGAGTTAGTTATTAAAGTAATTAGTGTCAGAGTGTATCGTTACGTGGAATAAATTATTGCTGTGTTAATTGGACTTTGATTTTTGGAATAAACGAAACAACGAAACGAACCCAAGATATCTGTCAGGCAATCCAAAGCCGTGAAAATACCTTATATACCTAACAGCCAGATCCTGTAATATAAAAACTAAACAACTACCTGTAAAACGCGTTTCCTCTAAGAATTAAAAAATATTTCCTGAAAGAAAAGCAGATGAGCCTACAATTCGAATGAAGACGTAGCAATAAGGTCTCATGCTCTAACAAAACTGAAATAAAAATTGAAGGTTTTTATATAGTACCTATCTCTCCAGGACACCTACAAGTATGTAAATCCATTTATTAGGTAATTTGAAGTTAGTAGGTTGATAAAACTACGACCTCAGCAGACATTTGTAAATTGGAATGCTAAAATTCTCTCTCATCTCATTTTCAAAAAAAAAGTGTCTATAAAAACTCGGAGCAGATTTAATTTTTTAATAATTCTGAACTCTCTGAAACTTCCAAAGATGTTAGCTACCTACTTCGCTTAAATCGAGTTGAATAATGATGGAATTTAATCTTTTCAGATAGGCGATCAAACCATTCGCGCTGCAATGGCCTATAGTCGTTGAATCCTCTATCAAATAAATGTTTCTGCTCATACACCATCTCACTTGCCCATATTGCCTCATAGAAATAGGTCTTCGGCTTGTAGAAAATGATGTACCAGCCTCTTAGAGCTAGAAATTCTCTATTGTCTAGCAAGTCTCCATTGATCTAGCAGTGATGCTGAGTTCCAATATCTAACTGATTTTTTTGGCCTTTTTGATAAACTGTGCCCTAAAGGGCCTACACTGAGAAATCCTCCTTATGGCCCTTGCCAATTTTTTAGCGACCACAGCTAATTTTTTTTTTAGAATAGGCTCCAGCCAAGTTCTTAACTGTCGTAATAGAGTTAACTTTATTGAACCGTCTTACCCGTGGCAGCAAAGTAACTTTGTTGTGACTATAAATGATATCTTTATTGTTACGATAAAGCAACTTTATTGTGACTATAAAGTAAATTTGGTGCTACTATAAAGTATTTTTGTGTGACCATAAAATTACTTTGTAGTGACAATAATGTCAGTTGCTCATGGTTAAAAAGTTGATTATGGCCGTTTGCACCGATCATTTTAAGGACGCCTTAGCGATAAGTATCCAATGACATTTTTACGTGGAGAAATGTCACTTTAAGTAAAACTTATCGCTAAGGCTTCCTTAAAATAGTCGGTGCAAACGGCCATTAGTGGGGTAAATATGTTCATGGGGTAAAAATAAAACACAAATACCTACAATTAAACAATATATATTTTATTAAAAATTATATTTTTTTATAGAAATAAAATATGGATAGAAAAATGGAAAATTGTTATTCCCATTATAAGAAAAATATACTCTTATAATGAAAAATCAAAAAACTTAAATCTATAAAGGAGCATAAACAATAAATACAATAATACAAGAGCCTTTATATAGGGAGATCAGTAATGAGATAGGATAGGAGGTTGGTTGAATCAAAACAAACTTGGAGAAGTCCTGTGACGAATGCACTGCCTCCTCTATCAATTAAAAATACCTATAATGATATTCGAAAAAAGGATAAGCCGATAAGGCTACGCCATCTTGTTTAAGACAAAAACAGAAAACCAACATTTTTTATTTTAGAATATCTTGAAGAGAATAAGAATAAACTCTCAGATCCATAATTTCTTATGTATGGTCTTCTTTGCCATAGCAGCAAATTTCTTCTTTTGTTCACAATCTGTATAGGGAACTTCATCAGCCATTCTCAACTGACATTTTCCATAGCCCCGAGTCGCTTCCGGTAGCCAAACAGTAACAGTTGATTATCGGCTTTCAGTTCTTTTGGTCTTGAATGGTGTTCACCAGTCCTCAGAATATTTTGGAATTAGTTCGCAGGTAGTTGCTTACTAGCCGGCTAATATCATTTCGCTCATGCCAGACTCTGGCAAAAGCTCGTTCGTAGCACGACAGGTCCAGTTGTCTTTTTCCAGTTGAATTTTTCAGGTAACCTTTTAATATAAATACCTACTTAAAAATAAAAGAGAAAAAAATAAATAAAAATAATTAGGTATTTCCATTTTTATTTTTTTTAATTTTTATTTGAATTCATCGATCATTAATGAATGAATTGGTTAATAAAGATTTTTATGAAGAAGTTATTAATAGGTTTGGGAGAGACTCAAGAAGAATGCAATTTGCATTTACCTAGTCGGAAAAATTTATTTTTTTTAATTTGGAATATTTCATTTACGTTGTGTTGTTTTAGTTTTGATTACAATTTTTTAAATTTTTTTTCTCACAAGGAAATAGTAGGTATATTACATACCGAGTAGGGAAGTGTTTCATTACTGCCGAGAGATTGACTATTAATCTCGAGACAGAAATGAAAACTTTTCTCCGAGGTTTGTATACTATTTTATTTGCAAGCACACCAATAATTATTATGATTAGTCATTTAATTTTTTTAATAATAAAAAAATAAAATAAACATGCCAAAATGTGTCATTCACTGTTTTGACTTTTTCACCTGACAGGTTCTCATTGTTGCCAGCAAAGGTAAATAAATTAGAGTGAGGGAAATCGGTGAGGGAAGTCGAATAGGGAAATTGGTGAGAGAAATCGAAGAGGGAAGTGACACAGGTAAAGTGACACTTCCAAATTTTTAAAAAGTCAGTAATGTCAAGATTACATATATGTTTGCAAATAATGTAATTTGTGCACCTATCAAAAGATACAGAGAATTAACTTTTTTTCCCATCCGAAATAAAAGTATTTCCAAATTGTTTTATTTTTTAATGTTTATTATATTAGTTACAATTAGCAAAATTTGGGTGTGGCCCAAAAAAAAATTTCCGCCTGCGGTGCGCTTTCCACGATTCCCCCAAGAGCAGTTTATTTGCCCCCCCTGTGACAAATTCTGCGGGCGCCGTTGTTCATCGAGTTTCCTGCCATCAATCCGTCTAACTCAACGAATCGAATTAAATATACTTATTCTTTTTGTAGGTGTAGAATTCCAGAATGCGACTCTCCAATAATTCCAGAATACCAACAACCCTGGCTAGGAAACTCGATCCCATACACAAACCGTCGCCCCGATAAGTGTTCGAGGTACGTGCCATTCAAAAACGATACTGGTTTAAATAATTGCACATTGGCAGACTTCAACATGGATATTGTGGAGCGATGTCAAGATTTTGTTTATAGTGGAGTGGAGCATACAATTTTGAAAGAAGTAAGTAGCCCTATCCTATCTTGAATCATTTACCCTGAAAATCCACTTATAGTACAATCTTCAGTGTGACAATAATTTATGGAAATTAACAATGGTTGGAACTATTAATAACATCGGCCAATTTTTTGGCCTGATGATTTCTGGATTTATATCAGACAAGTATCTTTTTTTCTAAACTCAAATTTATCGTTTCAAATAAATCCAAATTGATCGTTTTAAATAAATTCAAATTACTTTTAGGTATGGAAGAAAAGTTGTTCTAGTCTGGGGTGTAGTACTGTCTGGAATTTGTGGCTGTTTAAGAACCTTCATGCCCACATACGAACTGTTTTTGATATTCGAATTTTTAGACGCAGCTTTTGGTTGCGGAAGTTTTATTTGTGGGTTCGTATTAGGTGAATTACCTGCAATACGATTAATACAAAAGGGAAAGGCTTATGATTGACTATGGGATTAATATTGGATTTTTAATCAGGTCGCGGCTATTGCATAGGAATTTTTTTGAAACTGCTGCAAACAACATCATCAATTTGTAAATTAGGTCCATTTTAATGGGGGACTTGGGGAATTTCGCGGTTTATCTATGTTTTAACTTTTATAGAGAAAAAATAAATCCAAATACATATTGCCCTTTTGGAAAATTATAAACTTCTCGTAGGGGTTGAGCTAGTAGGTCCAGAAAAGCGAATTATAGCAGGTACAATAATAGCTTCTTGCGGCGCTGTTGGAGAAATTTTGATAGCTATTGCGGCTTGGAGCACAAAATCTTGGAAGTAGGTGAGCAATTAACATAATAAATTCAGATTAACAAAAATGTTTTTTTAGGCTATTGATTTTGATATGCTACGCACCATCAATTTTACTTTTATCTTACTTGTGGCTATTACCAGAATCCTTAAGATGGAATCTAAGTAAAGGCCGTATTGCAGAATGTCAAGAGACATTGAGAACATTAGCAAAAGTTAACGGTAAAGAAATTTCCGATAAGGAATTGGAGACTTTGGATATTGTGGTTGCAGGTATCAAAAAAGTAATTTCTTCATCTAACTATCTTTAAATTATCTAAAAAAAATTTAGAAATCAATGAACCTGGGAAAAGTTTGGGAAAGTCCAGTTCCTTATTTATGGAAGCATTCACATCCAGAACATTGATGCTAAGACTTATCGCATGCTGCATTTGTTGGGTAACTTGCACATTTCTATTTTATGGCTTGACACTTAACTCAGTGTCTCTAGTGGCTGGAAATAAATACTTGGATTTTATACTGACATGTAAGTATTTACATAAAAGAGGGTGTATTTGAATTTTTCCAACTTGAAGTAGATAGATAATCAGAATATTTTTCAAATTTCGTTATTACGACGAAATCCATACAAATATTATATGCAGCATCGTGTGATCGCGGTTTGCAAATTACCAATGATCTACTACTAATCATTAGATCATTGGCCGATACAGTAAACTTCATTTACCTTCTCCAGTCAGAGTTTACTTAAATTTTATTGACTGCTAGTCCAATAAACTAAGATTAGACTTTGTACATTCAAGTGGGTGAAGTAGGTTAATTTATATCTACTATATTGAATTATTATATAAGTTCTGGCAAAGTCTTGCTTTACGCATCATCGGTTCGTCCATTATCCCAGAACGTAATCGAAATCGTTGCGTAATTTTAGGAAAAACATCAAGTCTCACGAACTAGGAGAAAAGTTGTTCGAGAAGCTTTATCTAGCCTGGCCAGAAGTAGAGTGGAATAAGAACTGAAAAAATAGTCCTAAATCGATGATCTATGCAATTATCAGTAGATATACGCGATGTTTGTACATTCTAACGATTAGCTTTTTCAAGGAGCGAAGCATTTTGAATCCAAACTACTAGAGTCGTTCTAAAACCAACCCTGTATCAAAAATTTACTTAGCCAAAATGTTATTTTCAGCTTTAGTTGAGATCCCAGCATATTTCGCCTGTAATTTTGTCGTCGAAAAATGCGGACGAAAAAAGACACTTTTCGTCAGTTATTTGCTTACTGGAGCTGCTTGCCTATTATTTATTTTCATTCCAAACAGTAAGTATTATTTGACGAAATGTGCATCTTAAAACTTAAAATTGTTATAAGCTTCAAGGTGGGGTAGCCTCTCCGTTTACCTAATCGGAAAATTTGGAGCCACAGCCTCGTTCACAATCCTTTACGTTATCACTAGTGAAATGTTCCCAACTAATTTAAGAAACTCGTTTATGGGGACTTGTTCGACATTTGGCAGATGCGGATCAATGATATCGCCACAAACTCCACTATTGGTAGATTGATACTGGATAAATCCCAATTCGATTGAATTAATTTTATTTTTCAGGCAAAACTTTGGGGCCCTCTACCTCTACTTAGCTTTGCTGGAATGTCTTTGATAGCTGGTGTTTTGACTCTTCTATTTCCTGAGACTTTACACAAAAAACTGCCGGATACTGTTAAAGAAGCTGAAGATATTGGTAAAACTGTTAAGATTGATGATTCTCAATTAGAAGTACCAGAAAAATCATATATTTTAGAAAAGTATTTATTATGAAACCTAAAAACCTGGTGATATTTTTTAATGTACCTACCTACTTATATACATAGTTAATATTATTAAAGTTATAGAACACATATACATATGTATATTATATTATTGTATAAATGTTTTACTCAAGAATGTGAATAATAAAGCTAACTAATTATATAAAAATATGCTACATTTTGATCGTTGGTATATAAAATATCACAAAAACTACCTATTCAAATACCTATCTATAGTTGTATAAAATACTAAAATGTATTCATGTATAAAAAATAAGTATGCCTCTTAAAGTATAATCAATACTTCCTACATATATTTTAATGGGAATATAAAAAATAAATTTAATCTACGGTCTCTATTCACCTAACACGTTCGCAAATATCACATTTATATTTTGAGCAGGTATAGGTACCTACTTAAAAATACATTTACGTATGCGGTTAAAAATTCAGTCATAAACGATTTCATAGAAATACATTTCTTCAATTTTTAAGTGCGATAAAGTGATTAGAATTATTCATCGGAATAATCATAAGGACGTCTTATCTGTCAATGTATCAAGTGTTAGCTAAGATTTTCAAATTTTGGCGGATATTCCTTTTGATCATAGTCAACCGTCAGATCTTTTAATTCTTGCTCTGCTAAACAACAGTTTTCCAATGTGAGTGGTTCTTTAGGTTCGAGTCTTTTCTCAAAATACCACAGCCACAAAAGACTAACAGCCATCATAGCTGATGTCATACCAAACGTCCAGACTGTTCCATATTCTTCGTAGACGTGAGTAACGAATACTGGACCCATTACTCTGGATAAACAACCAGAGCCTGTCATTAAACCCATCCAAACGCCCTAGAAATTCACAATCATGAAATTATTGCCAGAATAATATTGAAACCAACCTGAGGTCTTGAACCTAACAATTTTGAAAATAACGTCTGAATTAACGTAATCCCTATGGGATAACCCAGGACAGTCAAAACATAGCAAAAAATGAATTGAGTATAGGTGATTGCAGGCACTTCATTACACCATTCCTGACTAGATGGACAACCCAGGAGGTCATCCCCGCAATCCAGAGTCATGTGACGAATTTGCGTTCCATTGGTGATATTTGGTGCTAGAAATCTGAAACAAAATTATAAGATGCATGCAATATGCAATCTATAGATTTTTTGTAACAAACCTGTCATATTGTAGAAGATTTGCATTTAAACTTTCAAAGTCAAGTTGATATAATTGGCTACTATTTTTAAATTTTTGTTCACAGAATATTGAGAGATTTTTTCTAAGGTTGATATCGTACATCTTTGGAGAAGGACCAGAAAAGGGTATACAAGACTAAAGAAGAAAAATTTAGATAATAAAACTAATTAAACAGGTTTTTTTTGCCACTTACAAATCTTCCTATAACCATCAAGAAAAATCCAATCCAAATCATTAACTTAACTTCAGAAAACTTTTTGGATAAAATCGGAATGGAGGGAAAAGTAAATATCGAAAACATAGCACATACAGACATGATAATTCCCATATACCATAAAGATTTATCTTTGGACCATCCAAGTTGGTCCATTGTCAGTGGCGTGCCTAAAATTATATTATACTGTGCGATATAGAAATTGCAACACCCAGTAAATGTAACTCTATTTTATTAATATTTTGGGAACTAGTTGGAATAAATATGAATAACAATTGATGACATTTTCAAAAAAATTTATTGAAACGAATTCTGCTTGTTGGAGGAAGTTTCTAGTAACTGCAGCGGTATGTGATTTCGCATTGTTATGTTGAAAAATTGGATCTTGCAGTTGCTGAAGGTAGGGGAACGCGCTAGGTTGCAATACGTTATTAATGTAGGATTGAGTTCATGTTTCTATCCAAAAAAACTAGAGGTGACTTGCTTCCAACTGCTATGGGACCCCAAGCCGTAAGGCCTCTAGTAAGTGCACTCTCACTCTCCATGCAAAATTGAAGTTGGTGTCTTTCTCCACGTCTGCGACAGACTCTACGTTGCCCTACCAACTGCAATATCCAATTTTTGGGACCACATACTGCTGCAGTTACTAGAAGCTTTCTCCAACAAGCTTATGTAACCCTTCTTACATGGCCCGTAAAGTCACCAGACTTATGGCCTATTGAACATGTCTGGGATATGATAGGTAGAAGGCTGACGCAGTGGCCACGTCCTCTGCTGGATGTATCATGCGTCATGAGGTAAGATTAGCCTGAGAGAACCTACCACAAGCAGATATCGATAATCTGAATCGCAGCATGCCATGAAGAGTTACAGAATGTCAAAACTTACATGGATGCGCAGCTGCCTATTATATTGCATTGTTAGGAATTCCTTTCAATAAATTTGTTTGAAAATGTCATTGTTATTCATATTTTTTATCCTAACTAATAGGGTACTTGCATGGAAAATTAAATTGATTATTGTTTATTGCAAACTGTAGGAAATCGAAAAAAAATCATTACTTTTTTTTAATTTCGCCCAAATATGATTTTTCCGGAAGTTATACAAATAATTAGTTTTATATATATAGATATACTGAGCATGTGCAACGTCACTAATTTATATGATAAGTGACGTCATAGGCATATTTCATAGCGTTGTATCTCCGTCAATTTTTGACTAAGACGAAAAAGAAAAAACACGTGTTGACTTATTTTTCATGGACTAACGAAATCAGTACAAGTACCCTATTCCCAAAATAATAATAAAATATATTCACATTTACTGGGTGTTGCAATTTCTATGTCACTCAGTAAATAATCAGTTGAGTTTTTTTCTATCCTTAGTGTACACACCTAAAGTTTCTAATAGCATGAAATTAAACACCATAACAAAGAAGGCCACAATCAAAGTTCCAGCAGCAAAATAGTCCGGCTTTGATCCCTTCCAAGTATCTTTTTCATTAGGTTTTCCTTGTTTGAGCATCGCTTCTTTAGCTGCTATCTTATATTCGCTGAATACATTTGGTAAGAAAAGATAAATATTGAGGAAGCTTAAAAACACATTTATCCAACCTAGAAGATGTTTCTAGTTATCAATCAATATTTTCACAGGAAAGGCCAGTCAATTACCTGTTGCCGTATACATATTCAATTTTAACTTGTGTGGAATCAGCCAGACGCCGTCATCACCTAGGGGAACTACAGCTGCCTGAATAGCTGGACCCACCACGAAACCCAATACCTGAGCTAGGGAGATCATCGAAACAGCTTTTGTACGTTCCGAATATTTGGTCGCGGCTGAAAGGTAGGAACGACAAGCTGCAACGTTTGCTGAAAATGGTAATAACATATTGATAAAATTATAGTACTTAGGTATCATTAAATTATTGATAATGATAACTTAATGGGTTAATATGAAATCATGAATACTCTCATTATGGTGAAATTCATGGAAATAGGAGAGTTGGATGTAGAACAGAAGATAGCAATAAATGTGATTCTGGAACACTGCGGTGACGGTTTCCTATCCCTAGCTAACACACTTTTGTATTCTTCTAGAATCTGGATGAAGTCAAAATCTGGACTCATCGGTAAACCAGATATCGTCCAACTATTCTTCTGTCAAACTAAGATGTTCCCAAGTAGAAATATCTCGAACTGCGTGATTGCTCTTCATCAAAGGCAAAACTCTCAAAGTCCCTTACTCCAAAGTTGAACTTGATCAAGGCCATTCCATATAGGTAGACCTGTAATCAACATGGCATGCCAAAGCCAATATTGCATTTTCAATGTATGTTATTTAAGAAATATTGTCTAGCAAATGCCAAGGGCATTGATGATGAAATCAAGAAAATTATTTTCAATGAGATTTTCATATTATTCAGTCTCCTACCTGAACTTACACCTACCAAAAACCGACTCCACAACATCCAGTGCTTGATGTGAGAGTCAAAAAGTTCCAAACAAGAGTAGATACCGCTGGCGAACGTAAAAAGCAATAGAGAAAATATCAATGGAATTCGTATGGAGCCTAATTTGTTGCTCCACCATCCTACTAATGGCGAGAAGAGCATTTGGCCGAAGGGGTTGGCAGCCACGATGAAGCCCATGAATTCTTTTCCAGCAGATGGATCAAGCTAAAAGAGAAAAAAAAAGTCTTATTTAACTGGTTTTCAAATTGCAATAAATCAAAATAAGTACCTATTATCATAACAAAAACATTTCATGTAAAAAAATGGTCAAGTACCTACGCGAAAATACTTATCCCCAAAAAGAAGTGAAATCAAAGTCAAGCCAAGTTCTTCAATACGCATTCGAAAATAAAATGGTGGCTTTATTTATTCTAAAATGTTTCAAACTTGGCGAGAACCTACCTACAGTCAAAATACCTATTGAAAGGGTTATTGTGCTAAATTGGGTTTAAATTTAGCTGTATTGCCATTTTCGCGTAGTTGGCCATTCTTTTACATGAGATGTTTTTGTCATGATGCATGTACTCTGTGTCTAAGGTTATAGTTGATTTGCTTATAGTTGCCACTAAATAAATTGTCGATGCGTATGCAGCCACTTTTAAGATTTATAATAATTAAATAATTTAAAGAGGGTCATTACTTTGGAAAACTTTATTTAATTTTATATTATGTAAATAAATGACAAATGAAATAAGTTAATGAACAATAACAATTGAATTTAGAAGAAAGGAACTTTTTTACTGTAGGTACTCGGCAAGTTTGAAACATTTTAGAATAAATAAAGCCACCATTTCATTTTCAAATGCGTATTGAAGAACTTGGCTTGACTTTGATTTCACTTCTTTTTGGGGATAAGTATTTTCGCGTACTTGGCCATTTTTTTTACCTACATGAAATGTTTTTGTTATGATTTCACTAATTTTTTTAAGGAGTTCAATAGGAATAATGTGCTTCAACTTCAACTTTTTTTTTTGGCGCATTAGGTCTTTTTCTTTTTGCTACTGGTTTTCCATCGCCTTCTTGAACTTTTAAAACTTGCTTTCGTGAAGCTCACTCTCGATCATTGTTCCTATATGCTTTCTATTTGGTCCTTTTTGAGCTTCAATTCGCGGAAGTTCAGGACGATATAATGACCTTAATCCGTTGTATTCAGCAATTGCGGACACTTGCGCTTTAATGTTATTAGTATCTAAGTTTATTAGATGAACTCCATCTAAACTTGAAACTCTGGAAATCGCCACATATGCCTGGCCGCATGAAAACACCGATAAACCTATATCAATAAGTGCATAAGGAAGACTTAAGCCTTGGCTTTTGGGAATGGTGATAGCATATGCAATATATACAAATTGGAAATTGTTCTCTGTTGACGCATGTACGACTAATAATCTCAAATTTGGAGAAATTTTATAATGAAGTCCATTGTTAAATTTTGTTTCAAGAGCTTTGACTTTTTTATTCTGATCCGCACGCAATTTCACTTTTTGAATAACTCCTATATAACCATTTACCAGACCCAAACTATCATCTATATTTGGCTTTAACATAATTCTAACTCCTTTGATTACAATACTTCCTTCTAATGCCGCTGTCATTGAGTCAACCTCTTTATGTTTTTAAGCGCTTCACGGGCTCTTTTTAGAAGAAATTTTGGAAAGTTCAAGTTATCTGAAGCGATGAGTTCAACATATGAACTAGGAAGAGCTTCGAGCATTGATTGCTGCTTACACATACTGTGTATTTAAGAGAAGAGTCTGGGGACCAGGCATATGGAGCTACGAAGGATGCAGAACGATATTCCGCGTGTGGCTAAAATGTTGCACCGATCTTAATGGGTTCGTTTAGGATCGGCTAAAATACGCACACATAGCTTGCACATACGCACTGTTTTTGGAGCAAATGGTCCCAATTCGATTCTTGTTGAAAGCAATCCTTTTTTTTTTTTTCAAGTTTTATTTTTCTTCTAAAGAATATTAAGAGGACGGGTTAGTTTGGATTAGCTCTGTTTGGCATTACTTTTTTTTTAAGTTTTGCTTTTTTTCTTAGGATTTTTAATTTTTTTTGAGGATTATAACGAGGACAGGTTAATTTGGGTTAGTTTGGATTAGCTCTTATTTCGTTTAAAATACCAAAATACAAAGACTAGCCCTTATCACGAATTACGGTGAAGCTCCGTCTGTCTGTTCCCCAGACTATTGTGTCTAACGATAGCTGTGGAGGGTGGTCAAATTTTCAGGGTTTTTGTTTTTTTCCATGAGTTTTGCCATAATTCATATCAGTTTGCCAAATTTCAGCCTTCTAGCATGTTTGGAAGTACCTACCTTAGAATTTTGATGATCTATACATGAGTGAGTAACAAAATTAGCATTTTTTAAGGCCATGTAACTTTTTTGTTAGTTGATGGAAATCGATGAAATTTAATTTTAGCATTAGGTCTATAAAGATCTACCTACGACTGTGCAAAATTTCAGTTTTCTAGGACACTTCAGAGCCGAGTTACAGGTAGGTCGAAAATGACCTGAAATGTTTCGAGAAAAGGGATACAGTAGTGCGCGAACTTGGCTGGGGGCACTACCGTGCCCCCAGATAAAGCGGTTGGTCATCTGTTGTTGCTAAAACAAACAACATTTCTAATCCACTACAATACTTTTCAGTCCGGTTCTTTGTTGTGAGATATGGTTTGGTTTGGTTTCATCTCCGTATAGTATCCATCATCGCTCTTTACATTGCAAATCGGGCCACTTTTCAGTTTTGTATTATCTTTTATGGCAAAATTCACTGTGAGTGATGACAGCTGCTACCTACACACTATTCAAAAGTTCGTTGTTCCATGCAAAGGATAGGTTCGTTGTTCCATGCATATGATATGTCCTTGTTGTCACATATATCGCGGAGTTTGCTGAAAGCCCTAATGGTCTTTAAATTTTACAAATTTGGTTATCACTTCCCAGTCTGATCTTGTATCCCACCCAAGTTATTCGCTTTATACTGTCGTGAAAATCTGGCAGAAGCGCCAGGGTGTACCGAATTGGACAGCTGCATCTAGATTTTACGTTGATATTCGGGAACAAGGTCAATCGCGGTTATTCCGGATTTAGCAATATAAGGGCCGATATATATATTAGTTTGTAATTTTTAAGTTTAAGTTTGGCTGTTATAGGATTAAGATAGTGAATATTGTTAAGAGTTGTAGGGCCGGTTTCTCAATAGCGAGACACCCCCGGGTTAATCATAATTCCAGGGTAAACATAGCAACTGGCCACGCTTATTTACAAAATGGTTCATGGACTGGTGCCTAGTCATTTGCTTGACAACTGCGTTAATGTACAGGATATACATAATCATTTCACAAGATCGACAAACAACTTTTATGTTAGAACTGTGCATAGAACATTCGACCAGAAGAACTTGTTCCATAAAGGACTGATACTATACAATGATCTACCAAACCACGTGAAGAACTGTGAAAGTCTAAATTCATTTAAAAGGGACTGCTTTAGATATGTGAAAGAGAATATTGCACTATAATAAAAATTTTGTACTGTAACTCTAAATATTATACATGTTAGCTTCAAGCTATTAATAAATATTATTATTATTATTATTATTATTATTACCCTGGAGTTGAAACTAACCCGGAGGTGACCCGCTATTGAGAAACCGGCCCGTAAAGAGTTAAGTTGTTTGAGTTAATTAGTGAAGTAATTAGTGTCAGATCGTATTGTAATTTGTAACGTTGAATAAATTATTGCTGTGTTAATTGGACTTTGATTTTGGAATCAACGGACCCAAGATTTTTGTCACACACACCAGAGCCGTGACAATACTTTTGGTCTCGCGCGATATCTGTTTGGTCTCCTTTTTTATGAATAATATTCGATTTGCTAGGAAGTTCCTTCTTGGATGCTTGGCGGTTTTTTCCTTTCACAACTTTAAAGTATGACCTCGTAGATGGGAGTTATTTTGATTTGATTGAAAGTAAAGTAAAGTAGATGATGAGTAGTCAAGGTTATAGGAGTAGCCATATTGAATAATCTTGTATGTCTCGATCTCAGATTATAGGTTACTATGACACCTAAATCCATTTGTTCTCTCACATGCTTCAGCTCAACATTGTTTATTTTGTAGACATATTCAATGGTATTGGTCGCAATGCTCAAGGTAGTAGGTACATTTTGCTTCATTTAGCCTCATTTTTCAGGTATTGGACCATACTTCTATAGCTCTGAGATCTTCTTGCAATTTCTTGTGTTCTGCGGCCTTTGCATACAATTTCGTGTCGTCAGCAAAAAGTAGGATTATGGTTTGGATATTTGATGTCATATCGCTGACATATACTAGAAAAAGTAGAGGGTCCAGTACTGATCCCTGAGGCACCCCACTCTGGACTTTTCTGTCTGAAAATGTTGCATTTATTCTTACTTGATAGTATCGGTTCAATAGAAAATTTAATAAAAATTGTAGCAAGCTCCCAGCAATGCCAAAATGATGTAATTTATGCAGGATATATCTGTGGCAAACCTTATCGAACGCCTTCTCGAAATCGAGATATATCACATCCACTTGCTCGTTATTGTCAAAGTCCCTTATCTAATCGTCCAAGCATAGTGTGAGATTGGTTGTAGTAGAACGCCCTGGAAGAAAGCCATGTTGGTGCTTCAGTAATGGATTTTGCTCCAGTAAAAATGGGGCTAACTGTTTCACTACAATTTTTTCCATACACTTGCATAAATTGCATGTCAAACTTATTTGGAGCGGTTTTGTCTCCTTTTTTGTATATTGGAATCACCAACGATGTTGACCAAGTCTCAGGAAAGTTTTAAGCTTCAAAAATATCGGGTCTTCAAAAAGAAAAACCAATCAGAGATTGCTTTGATTACGAAAACGTACGTCGCATTATTGTTTCTTTATTGGTCAGGATTTTTGACATCACATTTTGACATTAAAGATCATTGACAAAATAAAAGAAAAGTATTGTTATAAGAACGTTTAAAAAACCAGCAATCTTTTATTGATTTTTTTTTGAAGACCCGATACTTTTCATGAGATCAGACAAGGGTAGGCTCAGGGTGACTGCACAATTTTGCAAGGACACTGCTGCTGGACTAGAATCCGTCTTCAACGATTTGATTGCTTCATACACCAGAGCCGTTTTCTCGCGTCCA